CGTTGCAATAGATGGGGATGTACTGTCCTGTTTAGAATTGGCTCAGGTTAGTGCACACTGTTCTTTAAAGATACTCTTGCCAACTGTAGCACTTGTTTTAGCTCTCTTTGTTCTGACTATTACACTTAAGAAACTCAAAGTCCTTAGTTCTGAGAGCAACTGACAATAAAACTGACTCTTATTTTCTATTGTAAAGAAGGTTTTTACGTTAGTTCAGAGATGAAATATCTATGAAAGTAAACTGGAGGTAGTTTTGTTTCAAATACAAGTTTTAATTTTTCTTGATCATTGAGCTTCCAAGCTCTTTATTTTCATGGCTGTGTTGTAATATAATGGAGCAGTTTAGCAATGGTAACTCATTCTTGGGTTCCTCTCTGTTTAGTTCCAGTAGATATTTAGATCTGCAGTGTAGCAGCAAAAGTTTTTATATTTTTAAACTTAATGCCTAGACTAGCTACTCAGAGCCAGTCTTCTGATAGTTCAGAGCATGTACAAATATTACTTCTTCTTGTTCAGACATATTTCAATGTTTGCTGAGTCCCAGAAACCAAGACTGAACCCTTTTCAAGAGAAGGGCAGCTTACTTAATTTTATGAAGGGTGTTTTTTGTTTCCTTGCTTGAAGACAGAATTAGGAAGTTTTAACTGCTGTTAGGATATCCTCACTGCCTTGTACATGCAACTGCAATGTGTTTGTAACCTGAGGTCATAGTAGACAACTGAAACACATGCAATGAAGGTTGATTTGCATTCTAGCTGTTTCTTCCTTATGACTGTAGGAAGCTTTTACTAGGTGTTGTATTGAGCTTTCGTTAATGCTTGAATTCTATCAGTGAAGCTAGGCTTACAGAAAGTTACTTCAGAACAGGCTTTGTAATAACTCATAGGTACAGACATAAGGGACAGGTCCAGCATGCCTGAGGTTCAGGGGAACTAAATGCTGTGCATACTAAACACCTACTTACAAGCCTTTTGGGGCACCATTTGCTCCAGCAGAGAAGCCTGACAAGGGCTAGAACATCTAGAGGGGAATTCAGCTTCAAAAGCTTCCCTGTGCTCTTGTGAGAGTGCTGCCAGATACAATTCACTGGGGAATCACACTAGCTTTGGTTCTTAGTTGGGACTGCAGAATGAACAATAACCTCAGTAAACTGAATAAGCTTCTTGTTTTTCTTTACAGTTTCACAACGCTAACCAGCTGGCAGCTTGGTGCTTGCACTACATCTGCACCAATTACAACAGTGTTTGCTCCAAATTCCGCAAGGAGATCAAAGCCAAATCTTCAGGTATGGGCAACACTTCTCCATTTTCATGAGGCCACTCCTTCTTTCTCTCCTTCTAGTCCATTCAACACATAGATAGCTCAGCTGTGAGACTGAAGTCTGCACAATTACATGTAGCATTCTTACATTCTTCTAATCTATAAAGAAGGGTCATAGTCATTAGCCTGATTCCTAGGCAAACATGTTGCTCTTTACCTATTTCAGAGATGCTAAAAGGAAAAGTTATTTACTGGTGTCACAGTTAAAGATAGGCTCTATAAAGGTCTTGCATTTTTACACTTTAGTGGTCTGAGAATTCTCGCATGTGGCTGCTTTCAGATTCTTTTCACTGTAAGTACATCAGGAAATTAGGGGAATTTCTGATAAGCTAGCTAACACAGAGACTGGATAAATGATTAGTTGTGTAGCTTTCTGCAAACAAGGCATTTTTTGGGATCTGTGTAATTTACTGGCTGGTTTGTGCTTTGTTTCTTTTTAATCAGATAATCAAGAATATTTTGAGAGGCATCGCTGGCCACCTGTGTGGTATTTAAAAGAAGAAGATCACTACCAACGAGTTAAGAAAGAAAGAGAAAAGGAAGATTTTGCACTAAATAAACACCATTCAAGGCGGAAGTGGTGCTTCTGGAATTCCTCTGCTGTAGTTGCCTGAACAGAACACATAACTGGAAATTCATAGCCAGTGTCAGAAGTTAGTCTTATTGTTAGAAATAAGATGTTTTCAGGAAACTTTGTTCCATATCTGTGCATTTATTACTGCTAGGGTCAAAAGCACAAGCCCACTGAAAGTGAGCCTGGAACAGCTCCTCAAAGTCCTATGTATATTTTTGGCTAATAAGAAGACAAATGTCTACCATTATTACCTTTCTTTTTATATAAAAAATAATAATAGAGCATTAATGTTTCAATCTCCAATTGGGAAATATTTTTATACTGTCTAGTGTATTTTGTTCAGATAAAATTGTGGATTATCATTTTATTTTACAGACCACAAAACCATGTAGCAGCTTTGTATTAGATTTTAACTATTTTTACTATACGAGTACAGTGAAATAGACAATCCTCAGTCATCAGAAACAGCTTTTAGAGTCTAATCTCTCAATCGCATAAAAAGTCACCTTAGGAAAAAAAAAATCAAGATGCCTAGTATAAATGTTGGTTTTGTTATTTTTTTAAAACTAAGTACTGTGCATTTGGTAATATAATTAGATGGGTATTTCTCCTTTCTAAAGTAAAAAGTTAGAATAAGGTCCAATAACTGCAAGATACGGAGTGCTTGATCTTTGCTCAGCTGAATAATAGGCAATATAATTACCTGTTCAACTGCAGGCAAATGTATTTCTAATATTTGCCCTGTAAGTGCAAATAATTATGACTATGTGAGCCATGTGAAATCTAGTGGTTCTAAGCATTCAGAGGTTTTAAGCGTCTAGATCAAAGAGGATGTTTCTAAAACCATTTAGAAGGGCTTATTAATTTATATCTTTATAAGTATGGATCTGAATAGAGAAAGCAGTTATACTGCTTGCATTTGAAGTACTGCACAGCAGTTACCTTGTTCATTGTGATCTTAACCATGCAGCCATTCCTCATGCCGAATTCCATTTTACTTCAGTGCAAGCAAATGAAAGGGCTGCAAAACCAACTAAGTTATCCAGTATTATAACCTTTCGTAAGTGAAGAATGATCTTCGCACACTATCACTGCATTTTAATCTAAAGTGTTTTGTAGCTTTTTCCCTGGTAGAACTCAAAGTGGTAGGGTTTGAGTAGGTCATGTATTTCCTCTGGAAATATTCTCAGAAAGCTGGGGGCAAAATAAAGGCAGAAAGGAAGGAATTCCTCAAAAGCAATGTGAGAAAAAAAAAAGCCTCCAGTGTTTTCAGATACGCTGTGTGTTTATGACTTTTTATCACCCATTGCTTTAAAGCTGCGGTGTTATACTAGATTATATAAGAATGAAGCATTTTTAAAAGACCAAAAGTAAAATATATGGATTGTAGAACATACATGTGCAGCCCTGCACAGTGTCTCAGGCACAGTTCTGTAACTAAGTTAGGTATTGTATATTAGGTTTGTTAATATTTTTTGTGCTGGTGTCTCAGCATACCAATGTGAAAAGCTGTTCATGTTTTTATTTTCTGTATTCACAGGTAAGGCAGTGCAGTCAAGCCCCCATGCTGTAGGTCAGGAAAGGCTTTGGACTGAAAGCCATATACACCTCTACTTATTTAGGTTCCAGTTGGAATAATTCTGGGCACATGCTACCACAGGATGGTAGAAGCTGCCTAGCAGGGAAAGAGATGCTGCTCTACAGACTTCTATAAGGCAAGCAAGCAACAGATTCCTATCCCTATAAAGATTCATCACCATACGGTGATAAAGAAGGGCTATAAATGATAGATGCAAACACTGTCTCCTTAATTCTTGGTCAGTGATGATGGAAATTACAGAGAGGAAAGAATGAGAAAAGATGTGTGAAGGCAAAGATGAGATAAGTACCTGTTGTCATAAAACATTAGCCATTTTGAGTAAGTATTACTACTAGGTTTTACACAACCAAAGCTACTGTATGATTGTAATCTTGCCAAACTAATGGATATATAAGTGAACCTGAGGTATATGCAATAAAATCCAGTTGTGCTAGTTATCAGCTACTATAACCAAGTGGCTGGTTCATTTGGTTAATGCTGTCTATGGCCTTTAATCTTGGTGGTTACTTTGTGTTTTTTATTTTGCAAAAAAGTCAATAAAACTGTTTAGTTACAAATGGTCTCTCAGCTTTTTTAAGAAGCTTTCTAAATTCCTGAAAAGTCTGCCATGCTTTTTGGAGCTACTTCTAAGCATTTGACTTCAGTATCATTCAGGGAGATTTACTGAGCTGGTGTTTGCATGACATATTCAGATTTATGGTTGGGAATGTGACAGGGAAGTTCTCTAGTGTTTGTATGTGTCAGGGATGCAGGAACGTTGCTACTTGTCATTTACTGTTCAACAGGATAACAAAAAACCTCCTGCCACTTTTCTGTGTGGTTTCTACTGTTTAATTACCATGATACTACCAAGGGACATGAAACTAATTAGTCAAGACAGACATGGGGAAAAAAATTGCAGGTAAACAGCAGGAAATCCGTAAGGTTTTCAGTATACTTTAAGTTTCCTGCTTTCTCACTACTGAGGTTGTCAGCCTTTGTACAGAATCCCTAATTACCTGTTAGTAGCCTCTCAGCAAAAGTGTCCCCAGCTACAGATATTAACATTGATACTAGTTAGAAAGATGTTGCTTTTCTAGAAGACTGTGGTAAGACAATGAAAAGTACAGCATTTATGATTTTTCTCAAAGCTTTTAGTCAATACAAAGGACGTGGAAAAGTAAATGCATTCAGCACACAACGTACATTTTTTCTAAAGTGCTAATTTATAGGATTGTTAATGTCAGCAATTTGATACTTCTGGAAGCAATTTTTTATTCTTTTGAATTTACCATTAGAAAAGGTAATGATCTCAACACAAAAAGCTGTGACAAAAAATATGAAAATGCTTCTGATTAAACCAGTAGCTTCGAGTCAGAATTGTTGCTTTTCAGGCCTGTTTTGTGTGTGTGTATATATATATGCATACACACATATATAAATATATTTTGAAAGTATAGGTGAAAATACATATATATAGAATCTAGAGAAAGCTGCATAGCTTTTGTTTCTGGAGAGACTCAGCTTATTTCTTAGAAACAGCATTCTTCTGTTTTTTTTTCTAAGACAGCAAGAACTTCTACAAGCAAGATCTGGCCCAGAGTACTTGTATCACAACAAGAGCCAATGTTTGCAGCTTCCCACCTGCATACAGCACACCAGGAGCCAGAAATAAGATACTCTGTGAGTAATAAGAGATTGACCATACTTCAGCTGTAACTCACTAATTTCATTTTCTGAAGATGTAGCTGTCCTTGCCTTTCAGTCAGATAAGGTCTCAAGGTGTGCAAAAGAAAGCACTGAATTAATGGATACATTAAAAAGGATTACCTCATAGAAGAGATGAATCTGAACATAATTTCTGAGCACTGAAAGCATGGTGGTGTTGCCAAAGGAATTAAGAAAGGAGCAGCACTGTAGTTTATTGGCTTAATTCTACATCAACATATCTACAGGAATCCACCAAGTACAGAGCAATTTATACCTTGAAGTGTTTGATCTGTAAAATGTAGGGCTTTCCCTTTGTTGCCATAACAAGCATTCAGAGTCTGTCTAAAGGCATCTTGGTAATCCCTGCTCTGAGGGCCAAGTCTTCCATCTTCTATACTAAATAGGACTAATTTTGGTATCTGAACTCCAGGAAATGGTGAAATATTTCAGTTTTTCCACACTGAGAAGGATTGCAGTTTGGTAGAGAGATTTGCTGACCTTGTCAGATTAAGCCAGTTTTTGTCTACATTTGTTTTTTTTTTTGTTTTTCGTTTTTTTTTTCAAACCCAGGTCAGTCTTTTGTCATCAGATAAGCTGGCATTTATTTGTTCTTATTTGGAGTCCAAGGCACGTACTATGCAGAGATGCCTTAAGGTGTCTTCTTGCCACTCCTGAATCCCCTTAGATTTTTGGTCTGTTAAAATGATATAACAGTATTTGCATGAGTCTGTTTCTCCTGCAGGCAAAATTCCTATTGAAATCAATGAGCTATCCTAAAAGCACACTTTGGGCTCTGAATTGCCACCTAATGAATTTACACATTATCACCTGTCTTTGTTCAAAATCTGCTAACTGAAATTTGCTCTGTGTACTGCACGCAGGATGAAAGCGTGTTAGCAGCAATAATCCCCATCCTGCAGGCTCTGCAACAGGATAACTCATTGTCAGCTAGCATATGCCTTTGCCTTCAGGTAAAAGAATATAACTCGTGTCAAGATTTGCTTTGCATTAGCAGCCAGAGTAGTGAGACTATTGTATATCCTTCTATACAGGGAAACTAAATCCCTCCCTGCTGCTTACATGAAAATCTTGAGCTTTCGGTAGAAATGTGAGAAGTTCTGGGATCAAGGCTAAAGAAGCCTATGAAGAAACTTGAACATGAGATGCACAAGTAACGCTAACGTATCTAAACTCTGAAGAGTGCCCAGTGAGAAGATTAAGATGCGATTCAGAGAGAGCAGTTAACACAGAACAAAGTTGTTATGGCTCCTTTATAATTGTTTGATCTTAGTATCTCATTTGCAAGCAGACACAATCACTGTAACATCCTGCTGGGCTGTTTTACAGTTAGAGATGTGCTCAGTTACAGCTCCTGCATGTCCTATGCACACATTACAGTGAAAACATTATTTTGTATTGCTGATTCATCTCAAATCCGTTCCCATACTGCACTGAAACCTGTCCTTTGGCCTTAGAAAGAGCCCAGTACCACCTGGGATATCTATTTTTGTCTTCTAAAAGATTATTCCAGAACAGCAAGTCCTTACCCCAATATACAAATGATCTCCAGTGGGTCTATGTTATCAGGACAGCACACAGCAAAGTTCTGTGACACCAGGAAGTGGCCTTTTCAGAGATTTCAATGTAGAAAAGTTCATCAGCTTCTGAAAAACACAAAGTCAAGAGGGTGAGTCACAGAAACAAGGGTAACAGCAGTATGACAGCTTTTCAGGTACCATATAAAAATTCTACACTGTGATGGGGGAGATTCCCTGTAGATACCAACACTGAATTTCAGCTTTAGGTCTTCACCATTAGATATTTAGTGATCTGGGTGCCATCCCTTCTGTGTTCTACAGGCCTGAGTAGCTGCACTAGTGGAGCGTCTCCTCCCAGCTCCCATTCTGGCTTCAGTGAAGTTTAGATAAGCAGCCAGTTGATGACACCTCACAAGGAGGATTTTTAATTCTTGACCTTAACATAAAAAAAAAAAAAAAAAAAAAAAAAAAAAAAAAAAAGAAAGAAAAAAAGGTAATTATTTATTCCTCATGGGAACTATTTTAGTTTTAAGCTGAGGCTGTAGAACAAGGATTATGTGGCATTCCTGATACTTGTGCTAAGTCAAAATACCCTCGAGGTTTAAAAAACAAAACACAATTGGCAGCGTCTTAGGAATATATCATTAAATTTACATCTTTGCCGTAAGTATAAGATGGGCATTCTGAGCATATGATGAGATGCAATTCCCTACCACCTTATAAACATTAGCTCACTCTCTTCATATTACAAATGTCATTCATAAGGCTTCTATCCTGGGTTCTCAGTTGGACTTACAGCCCACTTGCAGAGTTTCATGGATCCCCATTCTGATTTGCACGTGCATTTCCAACTGCGGGGTGTCTGGGTTTATTTTTTAGACAATTAAGAAATCTCACATTAAAAAAAAAGACTCCATTAGAAGATCCCTGAGCAGGATCACTCAGGAGCATGAGACTGAATCCTCCCTATTCTTGTGTAGCAAATTCTGCAGGAAGAGCTGCACTAGCTTGCTAGAGGTGTGATGTGGTCACTAGTCCTGCAGTCAGGAAGACACACGGCTCTTTAAATGAGCATCAATCAAATGTAAATTCTTTTACACTCACTATTCATCTGTGGAGAATAGGATTTGTCTCTGCTTTCCATTAGGATTGGGTACAGAACTTTTTCTGCTTCCCTCAGACTCACCTGCTGAGGCAGGTCCTCTCTAGCTCTGTTCCTATTTGATTTCGGCTGGCCAAGGGCAGAAAAGTTGGAGAACGCTGAAGTGATGTCTGACCCACCAGATGAGAGACATCTCTAGAAGTCACTGTGGTGAGTGGAGAACTGGAGGACTCACAGCTGAATATTCTTTTCATTTTCAGATTAGTAATGACAGAAAATGAATAGCAATAGTAACGAGCAATAGAGTCCAGTGTATCTTCTTCTCACAGCTTTTATATCCTGTGGGGAGCTTGTTTGCTGTAGTGACAGCAAGGTTTATTTTGTTGAAACTAATTTTAGATAGGAAGAATAAAAATTGAAAATGCATTAAAAGAAAATTGGGTAACTATCAAAAAGCAATTGGGTAATTAAGGACTTCCTTTCCTTTTTTAGGCATCTCCCAGGTGTTAGACTATGATGAAAGTTTTGAAGATCAGTACTGGGATTGCTGGGCAGACTTGTCCCAAGTCTTAATAGAATAAACTGCCTCTCTTTAGCTGAAAAGAGGGGCAAAAGTGCCTTTGTTAGAGATCACGAAGTGATTCACCATTTACCACATCTTTGCAGTACGCTGCAGTAGGTGATGTTGGTTGGAGCTTGCTGTATGGCTCTGGGAAAGCATTCTGCAGCACTACAGGGAGTAAATGTGTCATATAACTGTACAAGGTGGTTGCAACTTTTACAGCAAGTGCACACATAGGTGTAGCAGTTGATGACCTTGCTGTTCTTATCTAGCTCCATGGCTTTCCCTTTTCTCTAGGAATAAGTACCAAGGAGATGTTCCTCACCCTCCCAGTCCCCTAAATAAAGGGGATTCACTCCAGGGAGATGACCTTTGAGTTAGAGCTACATTCTTTCTTCAGTGCTTCAGAGACTTGTTCTCTTAAACTTTGGTACACAGACTCCAAGCAGAAATCCAACAACTTAACATATTGAACTCCCAGTCCATCTAAGCTAGTTCAAGTCCTCATCAGCCAGGCTGCCCATGCAGAGCAGTCAAGCTGCAGAACTCACCACGTGACACTGGGGATTCAAAGATCTTACACAAGTTCATAAGAAATCCGGAATGGCTCATGGATGAAATATTTATTGATGCTAATAAATACATGGACACTACGCTTGACTGAGCAATTCCCCAAGTCAAACAAATGCTGGGAGTTTTCAGAAGAGGCATTGCTAACCAATCACGCTATTCCTTCTCTAGGTTTCAGAGGCAATGCAAGGGATACACAGATCCTTGGTCTGACCTAGCACTGCTATTTTCTATGCTCTAAAAAATGATGGGATGAGGGATTCAAGCTTCAGAGGGATCTTTTCCTATCTATTTGCATGGTCCTTTTGCAGTAAGCTATCAAAAAGGGATGTTTCCCTGCCTCTTTTTTTTTTTTTTTTTTTTTTTAAAGCATCTTTAACTGTGAAAGCTAGATTTCTAGAAGCTCTACTAATGACAGCAGTCCCTGTAACAGTGAGTGCCAATATAAATCTAAGTGGCACTGAGGGCAGCACACATGGGGGAAAAAAAACTTCACTCACCCGCACTTTTTGAAGGTTAACATGCAGCCTTTACTACCACCTGTGCTGAATATTTCCATATTGTTCATTCACAACACCCTGGCAGACTGGGCACTATCCAGTCTTCTCTCTACCAGTCACAGGAGTCCATTGTTCTGTAGCACACTTCTCATCTCTTGGCTATTTATCCAAATTTACCATATTTGCTCTTTACTTTGCAGCAGCAGATTTGAAACAAGTGCTTTTTTTCAGGACAAGCAATACCTACCTCTGATCTCTCTCCTCTAGGTGCACAGCCAATCATAATCAATTCAGTTCTTGTATGGATCATTATATATAAGCTAAGTGCTCCCTTTGCACTGCTTCATCTACTGCTATTTCCTTTCAAGGACCCACCAACATAAGATACCTTCTCTTTGAATTCCCTTTTAGCCTTAACTGTTACACTCAGGAAATAAAATAAAGCCACATTTTTCCCTTGTCCATTCACAGCCAAATTGTCATCTTCTGATTTGACAGAATTTGAGTGAATACCGATCAAGTCTAAAAACATTTGATTTGGGCACTTGAAATTTAATGAGTATGCCTTTTTTTTTTAATATACAGACTACATTTGGACATAGAGAAGGTGGACTGGCAAAATCACTGTTTTCGTGTTGAATTGTCTGCACATTTGCAAGGAGTAGCACACACTAGGAAGCAAGAGGGCTCCTCAGGAAGAGGTAGAGGGCTAAAAGGCAGCCATCTCTATTACAGTAAGGGCAGTGTTCAGCCTGAGACAGAAAAAAATGTATGTATATTGGCTAAGCCCAAACTCACAAAGGATGGAAAGGCTATCAGGGAATCACCGAGCACGTTACTGCGGCTGCTGCTGTGACATACCCTAGCGAGGCTTCCATTTCCACGTGGAAATACTTGTCTCCTGCTTCCCACCCTGTGTGATGGGTAGAGTGTATGAACAGTCTGGTCTTTTGTCTAGTGTCAGTTCAGGAGCTCACTTACCTGCTGATGGCAAGCATGAGTACAGCCTGTGAAGGGGAAAAAGAGAAAGCAGAGGGATTGTGTGTCTGTTTATGGAAGATGGTTATGTTCTCACAGCGTTCCATGCAAAGAGTAAGTTTATTAGATGAGGCCAAATCCCGAAAGCTACAGATGGAAAGACTGCAAAATGGGAGCCCCTTTGAGCACAGTAGTCAGAACCAGGTGCCATCTCCCAGGATGAAGATAGACTAGTCATGTCCTGTACGCGTAATGAATGGTGAAACCCGTCCTCACAATCTCCAGCAAATGCCAGTCATTGTTATGGGTGATGCTAAATAATGGTAAAGCGTAGTATGAATAAGATGCCTGCCAGGGATTTTAAGCAAGCACTTAAGCAATATGTTAGATTCAGTGTTGTGACTTCAGAATCAACTGTGCTGCACTGCTCTTTGGGTGTCTTCTTTGCGTTTCTTCTTTGCCCTTTGGAAATGAATGTTTCTAATTCCATATCTGTATAGTAAAGTGTCAGAGGGCAACAATGAACAGTAGTAGCAGGGAGATGTGCCTTCAGGTGTAGTGCTTACTCTGGTGAACATCCTGGTGGCTGCATCCTGCTACCACTTCTGCCCACCCTCTTTGTTTTACTTTGCTCATTCTTTTCACACACAAGGCTGACAAAGCTCTGACACTTATTGCAATATACATTTCTTCTACTGAACAGGGAATCATCTTTCATTATTATATAAGCTTTTTCAATTTTCTTTAGGCCTTTTACCACTCTACCAGTGTGGCATAATTTATTTTGTTGAATAGGTTACACACATTAAAGTGTGCGAAGCTGTATTTATATGTCTCTGATGAGTTCTTTGCTGGCTAGTTGATCAGCATGTTCATAGCTTTTGCAGTGCAATTTTTCACCTAGAAATGAGACTTTGAACCTGCTGAATTCTGGCACCACATTCCAATTCTCAGTTCCACATAGATGACAGAGGGTCTGGCATCCTCCCTGGAGGAGAAGCTTCTCAATACTGTCCAGTGCAGCTGAAAACCCTTAGAACAGCAAGCTACAACTATCCCTCAGAGCTTCATTTAGTTTTCTGGCTTTATATCCTTAGTTTAAGTTACATCTCTTTACTTATATATATGATCTATATTTAAAGATGTTTTTTTAAAAGAAACAGTCCAGGCTCTGTTTACAGTTGCCTTTAAGAATTATTCCTTCCCACCTTCCCCCTCTCCATAAATCCTCCTCCCTCTTTTAGCTTAAGCTTTTCTTAAGCTATGTAGCAAAGCTTAGATATTGTGTGATTAAAGATGACTGAGGGTACACTCACATCAAAGTAAAGGGAAAACTTAGTACAAAACAGGTACTACCATCACTGCTGTGAGCTCACAGAGATTCAGGTAGGACAAAGCAAATTACAGTCAGAGCTGCCAGACTAGGCCAGCCCTTACTTTCCTGTGACAAAGAAGGAGCAACTCTTCCTAGATAGTCTGGTAGCAGATCGCAGTCACACACAGAACATTGTTTCATCTACCATAAACACCCTTTGGGAAGTACCCAGGTTCAGCTGAGAATGATACTCATGCAGAGGTGTAGTGCCAATTTTTAATTGAAGACACAAGCCTTAGGGAGAACATTTGAGTAAACATTGTCTCTGTCAGTACTAAGCTGGTTATCAAGAAAACCACTGTTTTTCCTAAAAATAGACTGAGGATATAAAGTTCAGGGACAGCGGAGCCTTTCATCCTCGCCCTGTGTTAGTAGCTTGCTGTGAGTGCAAACCGAGCCCTTAAAAAGATGATATGTACTTCAATGTCTTTGTGACTAGGGGGAGGAAAAAGGAAAATGCTAATGTTTAAGCAAGGCTGAATAGAAGGTGGTAGGTGAGGCTTGCGTGTAGATGTACAACTGCCACCTCTAGTCTATTCACCTACATTGCTTTAGCTGAGGAGGATGCTTGCAAGCCTCACTCATGCACACAGATCTTCTTGCAAGCCACCCTCTGACCTCCAGCTGCAGGAAAGCTCTGGAGCAGCTCATTAAGCACTATCACAGGTGAGCTGCTAAGACAACCTTCAGACTCATTGCATTTGGATGCAAGCCAGTCACACAAATGGCTTATTTTTGGCCTTGCTTTCTCCTGAGCACTGCACATTAAAGCCTACCTCACATCAATTCTACCTTTGCAAAGCTAGCTACCGCATAGCTTTGCAAGTAGTCACAAGAGCTTCCACATTTCCTGATAAATTAGATTCATTTTTGTGTTTTGGGTTCTTCACCTGCCTGCAGAGGGTTTTAAAGGTTACCAGAAACAGGAGACAGGGAAAGTGTCAAAAGAGACAAAATCACATCAGAAGTAGTAAGATAAAAGCTGAACATATTGTTGAAGGTCTGATTCAAGCAACATGAGTGGCTAATCTGCAATATTCCTGTAGTATGACGTAGTGCTCCAAGATTAATCAATTTAGTACTGTGACACCTTTGTGAAATAGGCAGAACTGTAAAGGGAAAAATGCAATAAATAAATGTACTCTGCAGAAGCTAATTGAAAGAGTGTAGGTCGCTTCAAGTGTAATGCTTATGAAAACTACATGAAAACTACAACAAATACAAA